ACTCGCTTCGGTGGTTGAGAGAGAGACCCTTCCTTGAAGTTTAGACTTCCAACCGATAGTTGTACCACCCAATGTAAAAATATAACCTCGTTGTGCTCTTTCTACCGTCAAGATCACCTCCCAAGTCCGCATCAGAAAACCCCGTAAAATGAGATTACTTCTCTTGAAAGACAAATGCATCTTTGAAGTGCCTTTCAAATATCCGAATATCCACTTCACTCCTTCCCAATGCTCCTTTCCGGGATTTGATAGAAATCGCTCACAACTCCCACTCGCATGTGCTATGTCCGGTCCGGTGCAAACCATAGCATACATCAAGCTTCCTACTGCAGATGCATATGGCACTTTAGACATGTGACTTTCTTCTTCTTCGTTTGAGAAGATTGCCTCTTTGAAAACTTTAAGTGAGTTCCCAAAGGTGTATTCCTGGTTTTAGCATTCCCAACATTGAATCTGCTAAGCAATTTTTCTATATATTTTTCTTGAGATAAGTTCAAAATACCTTTATCTCTATCTCGGGAGATTCTCATACCAAGAATTTGCTTGGCTGGACCAAGATCCTTCATTTCAAAGCTCTCCGACAATTGTTTCTTCAACTTGTCAATTTCCGCCATATTAGCTCCAACAATCAACATGTCGTCAACATATAAGGCAAGAATGATATAGCTATCAACATATTTCTTCACATAACAACAGTGATCTTCTTCACATCTGCGAAATCCTGAGTTTCTCATAAACTCATTAAACTTCTTGTACCATTGTCTCGGCGCTTGTTTTAATCCGTACAAACTTTTATGAAGCTTGCATACAAGATTTTCTCCGCCTTGTACTTCAAAACCTTTTGGTCGTGTCATAAAAATTTCCTCTTCAAGATCCCCATGTAAGAATGCAGCTTTGACATCTAACTGCTCCAAATGAAGATTTTCTCGAGCTACTATACTCAAGATAACTCGATGGTAGTCATCTTGACAACGGAGAGAAAATTTACGTGAAGTCAATTCCTTGTCTTTGTTGGAACCCTTTCACTACGAGTCTAGCCTTATATCTTTTGCTGCCATCCGGTTCTTCTTTCAACCTATAGACCCACCTGTTTTGCAAAACTTTCTTTCCTTCTGGTAGCTTGGTTAAAGACCATGTTTTATTCTTCTGAAGGGACTTTATCTCATCTTCCATTGCTAGCTCCCACTTAATAGATTCATCTCCCCGCATAGCCTCGACAAAATGCTCCGGCTCACCAGACATCGATCAACAACAAATAATGCAATGAAGGGGAATACCTTTGTGGTGCTACAATTGTTCTGCTAGATCTTCTAACCAAGATTTCAGGAGTTGCTGACTCTACTATTTGTTCGAGTTCTGTCTCGAGGCTCGACATAGGCTCTACTTGTATATTCTGCCTTCGGTTGACTACATCACTTTCTGAAATTTCTTCTAATGATACTTGCTCTAGTCGTTTATTTACATTTGCGGATTCTGCAATCTCGTCTCTATAGAACATGTTTTCATTAAAAGTAACATTTCTACTTCGATAATTTTCTTGTTTTGGTCATCCCAAAACCTGTAGCCAAACATGTCAGATCCATAACCAATGAAATAACAACGTTTTGCCTTAGGGTCCAATTTATCTCTACTATTAGAGTCTAACATAACATATGAAGCACAACCAAAAACTTTCGGATGTGAAAGATTTACCTCTTTTCCAGACGATACTTCTTCGGGTAACTTATAGTCTAAAGGAACTGATGGTCCTCTGTTTATGAGATAGACTGCTGTGTTTATTGCATCCGCCCAAAATACCTTGGGTAATCCCGATCGGATTCTCATACATCTTGCTCTCTCATTCAAGGTTCTGTTCATTCTTTCGCCACACCGTTTTGTTCTGGTGTTCCTGGAACTGTCTTGATCATTCCGATCCCATTCTCTCGAACAAAACTCCTTGAATTGACTACTCGTCATATTCTCCACCATTATCGAGACTTCAAACATTTGACCTTTAAACCTGTTTGAGTCTCAACCTCCTTTTTCCACCTTTTAAACACAGAAAACACATCGGATTTATTTTTAAGAAAATAAACCCATACCTTTCTTGTAGAGTCATCAATGAAGGTTACATAATATTGTGAACCTCCAAGGGATTTCACCGAAGCCGGCCCCCAAACATCTCGTATGCACTAGTTCTAGTCTTTCAACTTTAGACGACTTACTTGTTTTTGAGAAGCTAACCTTTTTCTCGCTTTCCAAAGATACAATGTTCGCAAGGTCCAACGTCAACATGCTTCACGTTAGGTATTTTACCTTTTGATATCATGAGCTTCATTCCTTTCTCACTCATATGCCCAAGCCTCGATGCCATAAGGAGGAATTGTTGCCAACTTCTGCAACCGATATCATATCCTCATCTGCAATCATGTAGAGAGATCCTTGCTTCTTTCCACGAGCAACAACAAGATTACCTTTCATTACCTTCCAATGTCCATCTCCAAAAGTGGTGTAATGTCCCTCATCATCCAACTGCCCTATAGATATTAAGTTTCTCTTTAAGGTTGGAATATGTCCGACATTATTCAAAGTCCACACGTTTCCATTAGAGGTTCCGATGTTAATATCACCTCTTCCTATGATATCAAGAGATTTTCCATCTCGCAAGGTAGACCTTCCCAAACTTTCCGAAACATAGTTAGATAATAGTTCTAAGGAAGGTGTAGTATGAAATGACGCACCTTGAGTCCATAATCCATGAGTCAATAGAATTATCTAAACTACATAACGAGTGCATCTTCAACTTCATCGATTGCTCGCATTTGCTCGATTGATCATCATCTTGCTTCTTGTTGTTGTTGTTGTCCTTCTTTGGAGCCCTACACTCGATTTGAAAAGTGGCCCTTTTTCTCGACAATTCCAACAAGTGATATCATTCGGACTTTTGCTTGTGATCTCCTCTCGGATTTTGATCTGCCTCGGCCTTGATTACGACCTTTCGGCGACTTCTTCCTCTAGTTTCAGTACTCAATGCTTGAACTCGAATTAGAACTCGAAAGATTCTATCGAATTTTTCCTGCGAACATCTTCGCTTAAGATCAAGTCACGGATGTTATCAAGCTTCAACTTGTTATTGCTTGCAGAATTACTTACTGCAAGTGATAGTTGCACCCCAACTTTCCGGTAGAGATGATAATAAAATTAATGCTTTCACCTCATCATCAAATATTATCTCGATCGATGTCAACTGCGCAATAATTGCATTAAATTCACTAATATGATTAGTAACCGAGTTACCTTCACCCATTTTGAGGTTGACTAGCCTGCGAATCAAATGCACTTTATTGGTCTGCAGAGGGCTTCTCATACATATTTGACAACGCCTCGCATCAAATCTACGGTTGTCTTTTCGTTCATGATGTTGAACGCAACATTCTTGGCTAATGTCGTCGGATCACACCAAGCGTCTGCCGATCTAACAACTCCCATTCTGATCGCTCCATGTCGGTTGGCTTCACGCCGTCAAGGGTAGATACAACTTCTTCGATACGAGATAATCTTCCATCTCGCATCTTCCGGAACCCAAGTCACTGCCATCGAACTTCTCGATCCTCACCTTTCCTTCTTCCAATGCCATTGCTCTCACCGCTTTCGAAGAAAGCTCCCACTGCTTCTCTAAACTGAGATTCCCAAGAAAAAAGACCAAATCTTTTCGATGTGGAAGATCGAGACAAAGCCGCAAACCACGAGCATACTAAGAAAATTGGCTCTTGATACCAATTGTTAGGATCGAGCGCTTACCACTAGGCCAAAGCTATAGCCATTAGTCGAGCGCAACTCTTTTTACTTTAACGACTCAAGCGCCACGATTCAATTGTGACTCGGCCCACTGACCTTCGTCACAGGACGATTGATGCTACTCGCAACAATCTCCCCTCGCCATTGTCCTACAAGGTATCCCACTCTTGGATTGTGACTTGGCCACTGGCCTCGCCACGGGACAATTGTTGCGGGTTGCACAATTGTCCCGTGGCGAGGCCGGGTGGGCCAAGTCACAATCCAAGAGTGGGATACCTTGTAGGACAATTGCTGAGGGGGAGATTGTTGCAGGTAGCATCAATTGTCCTGTGACGAAGGTCGAGTGGGCCGAGTCACAATTGAATCGTGGCGCTTGGGTCGTTAAAGTAAAAGAGTTGCGCTTCGACTAATGGCTATAGCTTTTGGCCTAGTGGTAAGCGCTCGATCCTAACAATTGGTATCAGAGCCAAGGTCACGAGTTCGATTCCTGGTGGGCAATTGTTGAGGGGGAGATTGTTGCAGGTTGCACAATTGTCCCGTGGCAGAGGCCGGGTGGGCCAAGTCACAATCCAAGAGTGGGATACCTTGTAGGACAATTGCTGAGGGGGAGATTGTTGCAGGTAGCATCAATTGTCCTGTGACGAAGGTCAGGTGGGCCGAGTCACAATTGAATCGTGGCGCTTGGGCTGTTAAAGTAAAAAGAGTTGCGCTCTGACTAATGGCTATAGCTTTTGGCCTAGTGGTAAGCGCTCGATCCTAACAATTGGTATCAGAGCCAAGGTCACGAGTTCGATTCCTGGTGGGCAATTGTTGAGGGGGAGATTGTTGCAGGTTGCACAATTGTCCCGTGGCAGAGGCCGGGTGGGCCAAGTCACAATCCAAGAGTGGGATACCTTGTAGGACAATTGCTGAGGGGGAGATTGTTGCAGGTAGCATCAATCGTCCTGTGACGAAGGTCAGGTGGGCCGAGTCACAATTGAATCGTGGCGCTTGGGCTGTTAAAGTAAAAAGAGTTGCGCTCTGACTAATGGCTATAGCTTTTGGCCTAGTGGTAAGCGCTCGATCCTAACAGTCAGCACCTCCATGATTCAAGTGCTCACTAGCAATCTTACAAAGCTCACGGAAAGCCTTTCATGCTCCATGATAATAGGTACTCTTTAAGTTCATAGTTGGACACTGGTTGCTGCTTCAAATTGAGGGATGGAAAAAAAATTCTATGTTACCTATGCAGGTGCATTTGACAAACTAGTCATTTCTCCTATCTGAAAGACAGCAAAACTATCTTGGATCTCCACCATATTCTGAGGCAGGCACGCATAGAGTTCACTTATCCCCATCCAAAACTTCTGTAACGGGTTGACAGGATTTTAAACATACAATTCCATTTCAACATATTCAAGAGAAACTCTGATGTCTAATAATTTTTGAAGTACATCTCACAATGCATATAGTTTTTTTACCAATAATCCCCACAGGAGCATGAGCCTTCACTAAAATGATGGAACCTGTTATTATCTCTAATAATAATCTCTCTCTTTGTAAGTTTTGAAACAAGTTTCATCGCCTCATGACAATCACCACATACACGAAGATTTTTAACAACACGAATCACATATTTGGCACTGGTGCTGATCAGTGCAAATGCAACAGCTAACTTCTCACTATGACAGCCAAGGAAGTACTCCTTCTCCTCCTCTTCTACATCAAAGAGCACAAACTCCGTCGTCGGATTATATCCAGCTTCTCTCAAGTCCTTAAATAAACTTTCAAGTTTTTCATATATCTGGAGCGTTAGAGGATGGGAAGTGTCCCCTACACGGAATTCATGAACAACCCCATCCACTTCAACCCAACTACACCCGGGTAACTTCTGCATCCCTTTCTGACTCAAACTTGACCTGATTTTTTCTGCTTCATCCCATCGACGACTTGCTGAATATATATTCGATAAGAGAACATAATGTCCTGAATTCCACGGTTCTAAATCAATGAGCTGCTTCAACACATGTTCAGCCAATTGGGTATCCTTATGTAACCTACATCCTCCCAACAATGCTCCCCAAACAATAGCATTGGCCTTCATCGGCATACTCTTGATTAAATCTCGCGCTTCAACCAACAAACCTGCATGAGCCAAAAGATCCACCATGCATCCATAATGCTCTATAGTAGGAGTTACAGCAGAAACACAACTCATGCGACTAAAATAACGCCGACCATCATCAACCAAACCAGCATGAGTACACCCACAAAGCAAACCAACAAAAGTGTTCCCATCCGGCTGCATTCCAACCTTTCCCATTTGACTAAACACCCCAAAGGCAGCCCCAACATGTCCACACATAGCCAGCCCAGAAATAACAGCGTTGAACACCACACAATCCTTCCTCCTCATCCTCTTAAAAACCTCCACCGCCTGCGCCACACTTCCACATTTCGCATAAAAGTCAATCAATGCAATACCCAACACAGGATTACACAAAAACTCATCACCATCCACCAAATCTCTAGCCCAATTCCCTAACTCCAACGCCCCCAGCCTCGCACATGCAGAAAGAAACCCCACCATGGCATAACAATCTGGCTTAACATTCTCCCTCTGCATCTCAAAAAACACCTCAAGTGCCTCCTTCGGCATCCCATTGGCAGCATACCCCTGAATCAAGGCACTCCAACACACAACATCCCTCTCCTCCATCCTATCAAACACTCTTCGTGCCTCCTCCATGCTTCCGCACTTCGTGTACATATCAACCAACGAGGTCGCCACAAACAGATTCCCACACAACTCACTCTCCCTCATGTATCCATCAATCCACCGTCCACTAGCCAAGTCCCCCACCTTCGAACACGCATACAAAACCCGAACCAACGTGAAATTATCCGGCCTCAAACCCATCTCCAGCAACCCTCTAAACAACCCAACAACCTCCTCACAATAACCAAACTCAACATACCCACAAATGATGGCAGTCCAAGACACAACATTCTTGTCAAGAATTTCATCAAACACCTGACGCGCGTGACTTAGAAACCCGTTTTTGGAACAGAAACAAATGAGACCGGTGTTAACAAACACATCACTTTCGAAGCCGATTTTGATAACGAGAGAGTGAAGGGTGAGGCCTAGGTGGGTGTTTTTAAGCCTGGCGCAGGCTTTGAGGACGAAGGGGAATGTGAAGTTCTCAGGAGCGAAGGTGCTGCGCTGGCGCATGGAAGCGTAGAGGGAAACGGTGTCGTGAAAGTCTTCGTTGGAGACGAGGCCGCGAATGAGGGTGTTGTAGAGGAAGATGTTGGGGTGGGGGGTTTGGGAGAAAACGACTGTGGCGTATTGCGTGGTGCGGAGGTTGAGGGAAAAGCACAAGAGGGTGTTGACGAGGAAGGTCTCGTGGTGGAGACCAAGACGGAGGAGGCGACAGTGGCATTGCTTCACTTGGTGCAACGACCGAAAGCGAGAAGCCAAACACTTCTTCAACTCCGAGGCCATGCTCACGTGCAATTCTGCATGCATTCATCCACTTTTGACACTCTCAATTTGGTCTGTAAACGATAGTCCTCAAAAGTTTCACACCCTCGTTCCTCTTTCGCGTGATGCTCCACATAGATGTCAAATTGAAAAAAGTAAGTTTTAAGCGTAACATATTATCAACTTCAAATAGATTATATGTGTATCTTCTTACTTTTACCATGTTGTTCCTCACTCGTCCTCTTCTTCCATGACAATTCACTTGATCCAACACATAGTTAATGTTTTGTCACAAGTACTTATAATTTTGTCTTTTTTTCACTCAACCAACGTGACATTGTGAAAAGTTTGCTTGGATAATAATACTCAAAGAATGAAAATGGTGACTTAATTAATCTTATATATCTATTAGGCGTCACTTCACAACGGAAAAAGAAAACAATGATATCATTGCAAATACGTTTTGGAGATAAAATGCTGAAGCATGTGGACATTTCATATGTATTGAAAATAATTAGAGATGAATTGGAAGCTGACTTTGTTCCATTTCTTGGGACAAAATGAAAAATCTCTATTTTCAGTTTTTTGCCCAACGTGAGCAAGAAAATCCTATCACTAGTACAGAAATCACTTTTAACATCGGTCTTTCCACATCGGTTCTTTAAGAACCGATGTAGAAAGTGGATTCAAGACTTTCTACATCGGTTCCCAGATGAACCGATGTAGAAAACACTTTCTACATCGGTTCCCAGATGAACCGATGTAGAAAATACTTTCTACATCGGTTCTCGGATGAACCGATGTAGAAAGTCATTTTATAAAATTAAGAGAATCGTCACTGGCAAGATTCGAACCCAGCACCTTAGAGTCGAGGGCCGATACTCCAACCACTAAGCTACTAGGATTTTCTCGATAAATGTATATCCATGTAAATATATAAATATAAAATATATAAATACAAATACAAATATATTTATATATTTATATGTTGGATGTGAGAGCGCGCTCGAGAGTGAAAGTGTGTGTCAAGTGGGTTTTCAAAATTTGATGTCAAATTTGTGAGCGAGTCTCTTTATATGAATTTGTAATTTAATGATAGAATATAATCTTTATAATTTATTTATAATAATATAGCATATAATCTTTATACACTACTAGAAAAATGGTTAATAGTGACCGAAATTAGTGACCGAAAAATTCAGTTTAATATATTTATAAAAAAATTAAAATTATTTTAATTACTGAATTGATATTTTAAATTTATATTAATATTTTGGATAATTTAATAGTTAGATATATATTTTAAGTTTATATTAGTTATTTTTATATAAATTGTAAAGATTAAGTAAATTTATTTTAAAATTTAATTAAACATAATAATATAATATACTATTAACCATATTATTAGTTAGAAATTAATTTTAAGTTTTATCATATTTATTTGAAAAATATTTTTTAAAAATTTAAAATAATTAATTAAAATAAAGAAATTTAATTTAATAAATGTGTTAATATTATTAGTTATTAGAAAATTAAATTTATAATAATAATAATTATATAAAATTATAGAATTAATAAATGTTTCGCTTGAGCGAAAATCCCTCGCTCGAGCGAAACGCCTCCGCACAAAATATGATCGGTCATAATTGCATTCTGATCGATCATAATTGAACGATATCATAGCGGTTCCAGGTTAACCGCTATCTAAGTGAGTTTTAAAAGCGGTTCCTGTGTAACCGCTATCTAAAATGTCTTTCGCTTGAGCGACAGTCTTATCGCTCGAGCGAAACGCCCCTGCACAAAATTGGCATTCTCGGGTTGTGTTTCGCTTGAGCGACAATCGTCTCGCTCGAGCGAAACGCCTCGCACAAAATTATGATCGGTCATAATTGCATTTTGATCGATCATAATTGAACGATATCATAGCGGTTCTAGGTTAACCGCTATCTAAGTGAGCTTTTAAAAGCGGTTCCTGTGTAACCGCTATCTAAAATGTCTTTCGCTTGAGCGACAGCTCTTCTCGCTCGAGCGAAACGCCCTCGCACAAAATTGGCATTCTCGGGTTGTGTTTCGCTTAAGCGACAATCCTATCGCTCGAGCGAAACGCCCCTGCACATATAAAAATATAAATATATAAATATATTAATATATAAATATATCAATATATAAATATATATAAATATATATATATATATATATATACAAATATATCAATATATCAATATTATCCCCTCATATATTAATATATCAATATTATCCCTTCATATATCGGTCACTCGAATCGGTCACTAATATCGAGTGACCAAGGAAATAGTGATCGATTCCAGTTGGTCACTGATTCGGTCATCGAATCGGTCACTCGATTCGGTCACTAATTCGGTCAATGAATCGGTCATCGAATCGGTCACTAAAATATATTTTAATTCCTCACATCCAACATATAAAATATATAAATATATTTGTATTTGTATTTATATATTTTATATTTATATATTTTATATTTATATATTTACATGGATATACATTTTTATTTGTATATAAATATAATTTATGTATAAGTTATTATCGAGAAAATCCTAATAGCTTAGTGGTTGGAGTATCGACCTCCGACTCTAAGGTACTCGGGTTCGAATCTTGCCAAGTGACAATTCTCTTAATCTCGATAATAAATCAAATTTCTAAAAAATATAAATAATATAATAAATAATAAAAATATAATATAAAAGGGAGAGGAGACCTCTAGATCAATAGATAGGGTAATTGGAGAGGGGTTATGAATAAATAAAATAAATAAAATAAATAAAATATATAAAAATATTAGACTTTCTACATCGGTTCCTTAGGAACCGATGTAGAAAGTGGAAAGTCACACTTTCTACATCGGTTCCTTAGGAACCGATGTAGAAAGTGTGACTTTCTACATCGGCTGTATCTACATCGGTTCTAGAACCGATGTTAAAAGTCCCCGGGAACCGATGTTAAAAGCCCGTTTTGTACTAGTGTATAAAGCGCACCCACTCGTAGCGACTTCTTCAAATACCCAAACCGTGACCACGAAGAGGTGATAGCTGTAACATCCAGTATTTCCCAAAAATATTTCATTAATATAATAAAATATTTTGTCATTAACTTTAATAAAATGGTATTATGAGTTATTTTAAGACTTGATAATTTTTAAAGATATTAATAAATAATATATATATATATTATGAAACTTTTAATAGAGTGAAATAGATAAATTTAGAATTGAGTTTAAAATGAAGTAATAATAATAAAAAGAGTAATATCATTAAGCAAAATTAGTAAATATTATTTCCCATTGATGAAAGGATTTAATTGGTAAGTGAAAAAGTAAGAGAGGGTAATTTTGGAAAGGAGGTTAAATTTAAAGAAGAGAAAGACCAATTTTCTTTCTCACTTTCTAAGCCATTTTGGGAGCACGGGAGGAAGAAGAGAAGATTGATTTTGCTTGCCCACACCATCTTGGTTCATCCTTTTTGTAATTAAGAGTAAGATCCATGAAATTAAAGCATTGGATTTCAATATTATCTCCTAAAATCTTCTTAATCTCAAATATATGGTCATTTTGATGCTTATAGGAGACAAACTTTTCTTGAACTAAGGATCTCTATTTTCTTGTTTGAAAGCTTCATTTGAGGTAAGAAGAGTCTTCTTGTCATCAACCCTAGGATAAACCATCATTTATCTCACTTCTACATTAATTGGAACCAAATTAAAATGTTTTATAAAAATTTTGTATGGCTATTCTAGTATATTTAGATACTCTACAATGCTCCTTTCATATTTTAGAGTTTAGAAATTGATTCCTTGGATGTTAAAAACTAGAGTTAGCCATAAAAATCACTTAAATTGGATTTTTCTAGAGGAAGATGATGAAATATGTGTTGAGAGATGTTATTCGACAAAAATCTGCATGTGAATATAATCTTTGGGAAATTATGTAAAAATATTTACTTGGTATTTAATTTTGAAATTTTGATTACATGTTTATTTATATGTCTAGTTCGTGTGCGCTTTATTTCAAAATTTTCTGACCAATGAATTTTCGATGAAAAATCTTGGAAGTAAATAGGTTTTGAGTTGGGTGAAATAGAATTGTTATGTCCGCTCAGCAACTTTGAAAAATCATATAAAATTGAAATTAAAGTGTTTTTTTGAGATGAAATTTTTATCATAGTTGTGATTGTAGGTATATGTTAAGCATATTTATTTTCCTAATTTTATAACCATTAATTTATTTTATAAAAATATATCTTTGAGTAATGCCCCGATAGTGGAATCTTCAAAACGTATGAAAAGGGAAGAAAGTTTTGAATGACTTAGAAATCTTTAAATTTTGAGTTATAATTTTTATTATAATCCTAGAATATATGTATTTTGGACTGGAAAATTTCATAGAATTTAGAGTTAGTTTAGATAGCAAAGAATTTTTCCAAAGTTACACTTTTCTAATGCTTATGATAAACTTTTCTTCCTAGAGAAGTATAAACAAAACTTTAGTTTTGTACCTATTATTTATTTTATGAGTATGTATGATGTGAGAATGATAGTGTAATGAGATATTTTGGGACACAAGATTAGAATAATAAGAGTTTAGAAAATTTGATGGATCGTAATGTGTGCTGAGTCTGAGAGTGTCCGACTCTCGGCATATTTTTATTGTTCTTGTTTGATGCAGGAAAATGTGTTTATAAATTTGATTTGAATGTATTTGTAAATTGGGAAACGTCCAAATTACAAAGGAGACTCTGTCAAATTTTTTAAATTGATGAAAAATCAATAAAGCTTAATAAGAATGGTATAAAGAAACGTTATGAATAGGTAATGCATTCATATTCATGGTAGTTAGTGGAAATCATGTCTATAAGATGTTTGTGCTATGTGCTGAGTCTAAGTAAGAGATGTTGGTCATCTAAAAATATGGTATTATGTCTATAGTGATATGGTCTGTATGATGTTGAGTTTGTTCCTACTACCAAATATATTGTTGTTAAAGAGTTGGTGGTGTCACTCAGTGACGAGAT